AAAGAGACAAGGCACCTTGCAGTGGGAAACAGCCATGCTACAATTCCTTCTTCATCTTCCTAGGATTTAGGATAAGCATGCACACATATCTGGCATGTTTTCAAGCTGCTGGGCCAGGACTCATGCAGCCAGCCATATGGGGTCCAGCTTCCTTAACCACCAAGCCACAGGGCCACCCCTAAGTTGTAAAGCTTGTAGAAGACAGAAGATGCTCACATCAGGAGCTATAATGTGATAAATATTCCAAAAGGAGGGAGGCATGAAAAGGGAATGCATAATCATAAAGACAGGAATGGGTAAGTGCAGCTGGGTATAATAGCACTTCAGGAAGAGCACAGACAAAAGCATGGTGATGTGGAATATTACATCCCAGTCATTTCTGGCTCCGTATGCCAACAATGAAATGTGGATGTAAAGGCTATTCAACTCAGCCAGATCACGAGGGGTAGGATGAGAGCAAAGGTCTGATTTTGTGGTAGGTCACTGCTAAATTCATAAGAAGGTTGAAAGTGAATCCTTAGCAACATCCCATTCCTTCCCCTTCTCGTTTTAAACTTCCAAATATCTCTACTTCTTCTATATATTCAGGAATGCTATGTGAGTTCAACAAGGTCTCTCATCCTTTCATTCTCAATCCTAAATCTCTAATGATAAACACCCATCATACCTACTTTTCAGTTTTTCAAGCTCAATCACGCTCTTCAGTATCTCTAAGCCTTATTACATGTTCTTTCTTCATTAGAACATACTCCCTCACCCAGTACATGATTATTTCCTGCTTGGCGTGTTGTCTCTTCAAGAAAACTTCTCTCCAAGCCCTGGTTAGCTGCTGTTCCCAGGTGCTCCCATTGAACCCTGCACTTCCTACATCAGTCTGTTATAGAATCTCTTCCCTATTTGTCTGTACTGAACATAGGATAAAATACCTTTCGTGAAGGCACCTCCACAGTAGATATTGCTCAGAAGATGTGTGTCTTCCACTGGACACCTCTACAATCTCCTAGGGAGAGACATGTACCCTCCTACTGCTCTGGCAAGGTTTTCTCCGTTCTCATCATCCCTGTCCCGTCAATGGCTTTTCATGCTAACTAACCTGGAGGCCCCAGGTTTATTTCTTCATTATTTTTCTTCACTTTACACTATCAACAGTATGACTTGACAGTTTCAACCATGACTACTACACTAGACCACTAACCAATGTTCTCCTCTACATTGTAAAAAAACTACCAAAAACTTTTCAGAACAGTTGTTCGATCAAGATCTGTATTTCAGGGATATCATGTAGCAAGTACTGTAAAGACAAAGATAGGAGATAAAATACCAGAAGGTTGTTTCAATTGTCCATGATTAGTGAAGATGCCTGAACTAAGAAAACAGTAGTAGGGGAAGAAAAAAAATAAAAAAGACATACAAGATATTTGGGAGTAAGAATCAATAAAGAATTGGCAACCAATTAGGGTAAGGGATGGGAGAGAGGTAGAGGTAAAAGAAGATCTAAAGATAAGTTGGGGCCAGCAGGTAGGGGAGCAGTTGAGGTGCTGAACTCCCACATGACTGACTATGGTTTGGGTCCCAGACCTGGCAGCTTACTTCCTAACTCTGCCCCCCACATCAAATTAAAAACCAGTAAGTAGAAAATAAATAAATAATTCTAAAAAAAAAAAAGTTTAGGTGACAAGATTCATCCAATCACAGCACTCTTAGTCAGCAATCACAGCATTCTTAGTCAGCAATCACCTCTGGATGAACAATCAAGAAACCATGAATTACATATCTACACCTAAAGTAATAAGAGAATAAAGTAAAGAAAACAAGACAATAAAACTAACACACACAACTAGTCAGTTAAAAAATAAAACACTGAGAAAAAAATTCTTGGTTCTCTCATTAAAGTAAATGAAAACCATACATGCAATAAGGAACAGAGAACTTACAAATACTATCTTACTAAAACAGAATTTTAGAGCCCTATTTATTATTGATGGGATACTCAAAAAAGGAAAAAGAAATGGGAGCTTTTATAAAAAGCCCCCAACATAAATTGTCATGATATTTAATACTTTATAATCTCTGATAATTATGTTGAGGATAAATATAGAAAACACATTAGGCAACAAGGAAAGAAGACAGGTGGGAAAGATATAAATAAGAAATAATGTATCTCTAAGCAAAAAATATCACCTTTGGTGCCAGCAGGTGGCATGGTGGTTGGGGTCACTGAACTCCCACGTGGTTGACTGCAGTTCGAGTCCCAAACCTGGTAGCTTGCTCGTGCGCGCTCTCTCTCTCTCTCACTCTGTCCCTCTCTGGTCAAGGTGAAAAAGTTAAATAAAATAATTATTAAAAAAAGAATAATACTACCTTTCCTATATAGACTTTACGGTGTGGTTATCACTATAATTAATTCTTGACAGCAATATAGTTTATTTGTTTAGAAACAAAGATTTTTTCAGTAACTAAAGTCACTAGACTGTCCAGTCTATAAAAATTAAACAATTAATACTCACTTTGATCTGCATTTTGCTTCTTAGAATTCTGTCCTTTGGATTTCAAGCCATATCCCATTTCTATAAGCACATGGTTTAAAGGCTTTCCTACAAAATGATTAAGAAAATATACCTCCCATGAGATTCTATATAAGGCACTACAGGAAAACTCTAAGAAACAAGTCAATCACACAACTCAAGACACTAGCTATTAATACACTGGTATATATTTTACTAGTTCAGATTCTATGAGTAAAATAAAATAAGTTCAGTTAATGCCTGGCCTTAAAAATTGAGGCAATGGAGACCAGCAGTTGATGTAGCGATTATACCGCTGGACTCCCACATAATTGACTGTGGTTCGAGTCCCAGACCTAGAGGCTTGGGACATGCCAAGTGCGTATACATACATTTCAAAATCATGAGAGGAGAACAGAAGGGATTGCAGCATGGTCATCACCCCTCAGGGGTTATTTTTTGCTTTCTATCTGTCTCTCTCTTTCTCCCCCTGGTGAGTGCATGCGCCATATAGCAAAAATGTCTTAAAAAAAAAATTGGGACCAGATGACATAATGATTACACCACTGGACTCCCACATAGCCAACCACAGTGTGAGTCCTGGACCTGGAAGCTTGAAACTCACACCAGGTGTGTGTGCATGCATGCCCTAAATCTTGAGAGGGGAATGAAAGAGAAGGGACTATAGAATGGCCATTCCCCCTAGGGAAGTAATTTTGCATTTCTGTCTCTCCAGAGAGCACATGTGCCCTATAGCAAAAATTAAAAAATAAAAATTATTAAAAAAATAATAATTGAGGCAAAATTCCCAGTCACTTGACAAAAAATTTAATGAAAGGTTTCACTTCAAAAGTCTGAATAACATGAAATACTCAGTTATCACCTCACATAATTAGAATGACCATTTATGAGAACAACACTACGTTTAGTTCACAAGACTCCTTTTGTGTAGATGGACAGTACAGCTGAAACAAGAGCTCGTCGGTATCAACATAATGTCAAATTCCCTCAAATAACATCCAAAAGCTGAAATCATAACATGAAACATACATATCACAGAAACAAAATGAATAGATCTTATACTTAATTTCACCAGAGATTAGCTGCATTTTCTACCAAGTCACCTATGACATCAGTATATGGACAAAACAGTAGATTAAAGTAGATGGGTAGTATCCTGTAAACTGAGAGGCGATTGTACACACACTACACTGTAAGAAGCCACTTCAAGGGACCAGCAGTTGGCGTAATGGCTATGTCGCTGGACTCCCATACAGTCAACTGTGGTTTGAGTTCCAGACCCGGCGGCTTAAACTCACACCGGGCACATGTGCATGCATGCCCAAGATCCCAGGAGGAAAAGGGATTGTTGCGTGGCCATCCCCCTAGGAGGGTGATTTCTCACTTTCTGCCTCTCTCTGTCTTTCTGGCAAGCACACACACCCTATAGCAAAAACCACCTCTCAAAAAAAAAGAAAAAAGTCACTTTGAAATAAATATGAAAAGCAGGATTCCAAAGGGCTTTTATTTCCACAACTTAAATACTATATACTAGCCAAAATGCACTTCTGTGAAGTGCTGAGAAGTACTGAAAAAAAAGACAAATGAATCCACAGAAAAATTCAACAACTTCTCTCAGAAAAGGAGTAGAAACCGGAAGTGGGTTTATAAGGGTGATATAAAAAGGATAATACAGCTATCTCCACATCAAGTCTGAATCTAGCCCTATAAGCCACCTAATTCCATGAATTTGTCCCACATCTTAGAACTGCCAAATATAAGATTAGGGAGGGCCGAGGCTTTATTTTCTGTCACAATCTACATGACGCCAGAGAAATTGACTTGGTCTCACTTCATATTCTTTTCTAAAAATACTAAATGACATATTAAGTGATCAATTTCAAAAGACAGACAGCCTCAGATCTTACCTGAACTTGGCAGCATAACATCTACAGCAAAGGTAACCACTTCTCCTTCCAAGATGTCCACAATCTTCATCGAGAGGTACTGCTCCATTAACAGTGATTTCATGGTTTTGATACACTCGCTGCTCCAATTCCCTTCTGCTGGGACAACATCAGCCACAAAGCACTTTATGGCCTGAAAAATTGTGTGCCAGTTACTTACAGAAATCAGTATTAAAAAGAACTTGTTCTATTTAAGAATCTGAAAATTTTCAAAGATAATATATTTCATGCTGAAAAGCTTATTAAAAATCTGCAAGCAATAATCAGATGAGCAATCTTAGGTATAATTATTATTTGTCTCTCTTGGAATACTAGGGACCAGCAGGTGGTGTGGTGATTATGGTGCTGGACACTCCCACATGGCCAACCATAATTCGAGTCCCAGGCCTGGTGGCTCGCTTTCTCACTTCTTTCTCTCTCTCTCTCCCTCTGTGTGTGTGTGTGTGTGTGTGTGTGTGTGTGTTTCTCTCTGGTCAAATTAAAATAAATGAATGAATAAATTTTTAAAAAGTTAAAAAAAAAGAACTCTATTCACAATGCTTACTTTTGGCACTTGGCACTTTAAGCATGAAAAATTCATGTAAGGATAAGTTATCCCTCAATAAACCTAGATTCAAACCGTTTTTAAGTAATGTAACTACAGAAATAACTGTTTTTAAAGAGCAGATTGACCAGATGTACCTTAAAATGTTAGTTTCTTACCTGAGACAGTAATTAACTAAAGCATAATAAAAAGTAGAGCCAAGATAACCAACAAGTGTTCATCTACATAGTAAAGAAGATACCCACCAGTCCCATAACATGACAGAAATAGAACAAACACTGTGGTAATCGAAACATTAAAAGCAGCTTCTTTGGGACATTAGGAATTCAGAAAGTAAAAGAAAAACTCACACAAGGAGGAAACAAGTCAATGTTTCTGTTTAGTTGGCGAATTCTGTTTACTGGTATTATTTCTTCATTTCCGTAATCAATATATAAGACATGCGCTTTTTTCTGCAGCACATCAGTATCTTGTATTACTGCTCTGTTCCAGGTCTGAAAGAAATATAGCACAGATCGTGTATGAAAAACTAAAATGTGAAATACTCCAAAATCCAAAACTTTTTGTGCACCAACATGATGTTGCAAGTGCAAAATTCCACACGTGACTGCATGGGATGGGTGGCAACAGAAAAATATCCTATAGATTACCTACGGGATACGTGTATTAAGGTACGTATGAAACAAATGAATTTTATGTTAAGATTTGGGTCCCATCCCCAAGATCTCTCATTATATACCTGCAAACGTTCCAAAATCCGAAGAATCTAAAATCCAAAACACTTCTGGTCTTAAGCATTTTCGATAAGGGATGTTCAACCTATAGGACTGTTCCAAAACAGCATTTCACCATCTTAAATCAAAAATCCCTCAACCAATCTACATGCAAACAAACGCTCCTGTTCTGTTCTGAGGTACTCAATTAAAAAGTCAACTTAATTTTCTCAGGATCTTGCTAAGAAATCACTAAAACTGTCTAATTAAGCACTACTCTGAAGCTATTCTATGCCAGTGGAAACACTAACACCTCAGCTACACAAACATAAGCTCTAAGACTAACAGTCTATAACTGGCAATCTTGAAACCTATGAAAGGAGCTAAGGGGGCAGGACAGGAGGAAGTAGACTGGACAGAGCTTGGAATATTAAGAGAAACAAGGCCATGATCAGCGTTTGGCTTTAAGACATCTAATGCATCATTAAAAACTCTGGTGTTGATGAGCTGATATGACCAAAGAAAGATACAACATTTTATTAAATAATTCATTTCATTAGCAGTTACCTGATCGACAGTGTACTGGGCAACACAAACTTCTCCCTTTACAGGGATATAATCTTCTTCATGCGCCATATTTGCATATGTTTCTTTTAAGCTCACAGTGAGCTGGTTCATGTATTCTACCACTTCTGAAGAATACAACTGCACATAAAAGTCACTCGGATGCTTGAATTCAGTAACTGTACCCTTTCAGAGAAAGAAAAGATTGAATAATTCATTGAGAACACAAGCAAATGGGAGTTTCTTAAAGCTTTTCTAGATATCAAGAATTATAGACAGTTTTTTTTTTTTTTTTACCAACTTTATTAATTGAATGAGACACATTTTGTATCAACCTTGCAAATTCAAATTAAAAATAGAAAACAAGGGGGCTGGCTTTGTGCCCTGGTGGTTAAGGCAGCTGAATCCCACGTGGCCAGCCACTCAGCTGGAGTCCCTGAACTGGTGGCTTGAGAAACATGCCTGGTGCCTATGCTTGCATGCCCCAAATCCTGCCAGGATGGAGAAATGGAGAAGAGATCACAGAATGACCACTCCCCATGGGGGAAGGGGCTTTCTTTTCTCTTCTCATCTCTTTTCTCTTGCTTGTCTTTTTTCTGGCAAGCACATGTACCCTCTAGCAAACAGAAACAAGGAAATTTTAAAAAGCTATAGTTCTTTGGATCTCTGTCTATGAAAATTAAACTAAACAACACATACCTTTATCTCCATGGCTTTCTTGAGATGTAGATTTCTCAATTCTGAAAACATAATTTTCTCAGCACAAGTGGCTGTATCTTTAGTAACTCCAGGTGGATAGTCGCTATCCTTTAAGATATATATATAGATACAAGTTACTTATAGGCACATTTCATTGATACCATGGCTACTACTACTGGTTGTCAGAAAAGTCAGGATGTATTTTCCCAACAACCCAATCTTTGTTGGAACTGTGGCCATGACAGTCTGCCTCTTAGGCCTGAATAAGAACACAGAGCCAGGGAAGACCTCCGGAGTCACTAACATCCACTGTGTACAGGCAGCAAGCACTACACTGCGGGTCACTGAAGGATGAGACCGTGACGGTGAAGATAAAGTCGAATCTAGGCATTTTTTTTTTAAAATGGGTGGTAATGGTGGGGGGGGGGGGATTTGCATGTGTTAATCTTTTTGTAAGAGTGAACATTAGGGGACCAGACCAGCAGGTAGCATAATGATTACTTCGCTGGACTCCCACATAGTTGGCCATGGTTCAAGTCCTGGACCTGGTAGCTTTAAAATTCACACCGGGCACGTGTATGCATGCCCAAAATCCCAAGAGGAGAAGGGTCTGTGGCATGGCCATACCCCCTGAGGGGTGATTTTTCACTTTTGTCTCTCTGGCAAGTGCACGCATCGTATAGCAAAAATCTCTTTAAAAAAAAAAAAGAATATTTAAGGAAGTCAGATTTATTTTTTCTTTAGGCAAAGGATAGGAGCACTTAGAGAAAGCTAAGAATCACCCGTGAGTTGAATAGAACAAACGTTTTTCAGATTACAAACAATTTAGGCCATATAGTTATCTATCAATAAATGAGGACCAAAAAAAAAAAAAAAGCTCCTTACACAGATAAGTGGGCCCTGCTAGAGTGTAACACACAAAGCTGGAGAACCCGCGCATGCTGTGGCCGCAAAGAAAGGACTCTTTAAACAGTCCAAGGAGTTTTACACTGAGGCGCAGCCATCTCAAGTCCTTTTATGAAAAAGACTGGAAACAATTCTTGAGGCTATTCTCCAACAGTCATCGAGGTCCACCACTAGGGTACACAGATTTACTTGACAGAAAACGGTTTTAAATAAATACAGAAACAATTCAAAAATAAGTCTGAACCATTTTATTTAGCTCAAGTCATCGTAAGTCAATAAAAGGGAGTCATACTGAATTTATTCTAAAGCCAAAGATTAAGTATAGCATACCTCGTTTTTCCCTTCCATGTTCTTTTTTTCAAATGGCAATTTATTATTTTCAAGTTTGTGACAACTGAAATAAAGCAACCAATTATTAATACTTTTAACACAGAGGTAATTAGGGGCCATAAATCATAATTATGCTAAATTCTCCATGAATGAAATCCCATTAAGACAAAAACAGCATCCATCGTGGCAGTAAGGAGAATCACAGTGGTAGCAAAATAAACAACCAGGGCTGACTACACAATGGCCTGCCTTGTCTCTGGGCAGGCCTGCTTCTCTCCAAAGCCACCTCAGCAAAGGGAGATCATCTCTAAGCCTCAGTTTTCTAAGCTATAAAATAGAGATGCACAAAATTTTTGAGGGCAAAATTAGGTATTACTTATAATAGATAAATCCTACGGAAATAAGGTATTTTTAAAAAGCAAACTCAAGAGACATTGTGCGAGTTCCGACTTATTTAAAATTCAGGAAAGCACACATGATTAAGAGTAAGGCGTTCCTAGGCCTGCAGGTGGTCTGATGGTTAAGGCAGCTGGATCCTATATGGGTGACTACACATTTCAAGTCCTGGACCCAGACGCTTGAAAAACATGCTGAATGTATGTGCACGTGTGCCCAAAATCCAAGAGGAGAATGGAGGGCAAGGGACTGTGGCGTAACTGTCTCTGCTGTTCTGCTGGAGGCTGATCTCTTTCTTCCTTTCTCTCTCTGGCAAGCACACATGCCCTACACAAACTTTAAAAAAGAGGAGGACGAAGGACTTCTAAAGCTCTAACCAAAAAAAAAACAAAGAACAAACAACAACAACAACAAAAAACTCACTTAAGGTTCTAAATCTTAACATGTACTATCTAATAAAATTTTATTCATGAAAATGATTGTAGACTTGTTCACTTCAGCCTTGTACACTTTGTTCTGACTCAATAAATAAGTAAAAAGCAGTAACTTCCACATAGTTCTGTTGTGTTTAACTGATCAGATATACATGCTACTTCATTCTAGGGGCCAGCAGGTGGCATGATAGGTAAGGTGGCTGGATTCCCACATGACTGACTGCTGTTTGAGTCCTGGACCCTGTACCTTCAAAATCACACTGGGCTTGTGTGAGTACACGCCCAAAATGCCAAGAGCAGAATGGAGGAGAAGGGATTGTGGTGTGGCCCCCTTACATGCCAAGGGACGATTTCTCACTTTCTCTCTCCCCTTTTCATGGAGCACATTTGTCCTGTGGCAAAAACCTTAAAAGAGGTAGAAAAAATAGATAAAGGAGAAGAAAAGTCTTCGTTCTCTAATGAATACAAAGATCATGAACACTTACTTTTGCTGAACAGGCTTGCACACAATGCTGTGTGCTGACCAGTCTTTTCTCTGACATGCTGTGGAACAGTAGTACGTTTGCTTGCACTGGGAACACCTCAGCGACCCTGCAAACACAACCCATACCACCACCAAGGCTTACACCAAATATAAAGACTGGAGACATAGCTTCCCTAAAATAAAGACTAGGGTACATGTTACAAAACAATCAATCAAAAGAAACACCAAACTCTGTTGTAGTGAAAGTGGACTTTTGCACTGGATTACGAAAAACAGACTGACTGAAATGGCTTATGGGATGTACCATCAAAACAGAAAACAAAACTAATGAAGAGAATCACTCCTATAAAACCCAATTAGGGGACCAGAAGTTAGCCTAATGGCTATGTTGCTGGACTTCCATGTAGTCAACTGTGGTTCGAGTCCTGGACCCAGTGATTTAAACTCACGCCGGGCACGCATGCGTGCATGCAGAAGATCCTAAGAGGAGAATGGAGGAGAAGGGATTGCAGCATGGCCATCCCCCCTGGGGGTGATTTCTCGTTTTCTGTCTGTCTTTCTGGCGAGCACTCACACCCTATAGCAAAAACCTCTCCAAAAAAAAGAAAAGAAAAAACAAAACAAAAAACCTAGGAAGCTTTTGAAGTATTAAAAAAAAAAAAAAATCCTACCCATATCCGATTGAAAAAAAAAAAAAAAAAGGTTATCTAAAAAATAAATAACTACCAAACAAACAAACAAAGAAAAAAACCACACACCCAAAACAGGCTGGCTTTATTTTCGGGGGTGGGGGGAGGTTCTTGCTATAGGGCGTGTGTGCTCACCAGAAAGACAAAAAGAGACAGAAAGCAAGAATCACTCCCTGGGTGGATGGCCATGACACAATCCCTTCTCCATTCTCCTCTCAGGATCTTGGGCACGCACACAAGCCCGGCCTGAGTTTAAGCCACTGGGTCCAGGACTTGAACCACAGTCGATAACGTGGGAGTACAGTGACATAGACATTATGCGCAATGCTTGTCCCAAAACAGGCTGGCTTTAAAAGCCTCTACCTTAAAAGAAATAGAAAAAACAAAGGAGCTCAATATCCAAATAGCCAATAATCATATTTAAAAATTGCTCAAGAGGGAACTGCAATTAAAACCACAAGATACCACAGGTAGGTATCAACAGTGTGAGGTGAGTGAGGAATCTGGACCTCTGTCCTAACCTAGCAGTAACAAGGCAGCCCACCTCATCCCCTGATGGAACAAACTGAGTCAGAGGAGGCCAGCAGAAACAGAGTTAAAATATAATACAAAGTAACATAACATAATACTCAGTGTCCTAGTTACAACAGAGAGTAACTCATACCAAGAACCAGGAAAATCACAAATGAATGAGGCAAAAAAAAAAAAAAATATATATATATATATGTTGAAAAAGAAAAAAGATGTCAGCATCCTCATGCCCTTGGGAAGGGTGTACATAATTAAAACGACACCACCAAATGTTGATGAGGACATGAATGAACCAGGACTCGTCACCAATGGGAATATAAAAAACAGGACAATTACAATGAAAAATGGTCTTTTTTAGTTAAAATATACCTACCCTTTGACTCAGAAATTCTGCTCCTAAGTACATACCCAAGATAAATGAAAACATATATCCACACAAAAAGTGTAAAAAAATGTTTAGAAAGATCTAGTCATCATAGTTCAAACGTAAACGCGCCCAAAATGTCCAGCAACAGAACAGATAAGCCAATGATGTCAAAACATAACATTATATGTAGTAAATATATGCAATTTTATCTGTAAATTTAAAAAACAAAAAAAAACTCCAACAACAAAACTCCCGAGAGGAGAATGGAGAAGAAAGGATTGCGGCGTGGCTATCTCCCCATGGGGAGTGAGGGGTGATTTCTTGCTTTCTGTTTCTGTCTTTCTGGCGAGCGCACGTGTCCTCTAGCAAAAACCTCTCCAACAAATAAAAAATAAAAATACCAATAAAACGAGGAAGCAAGAATAGGAAGGTATGGCAGAATATGGGTGGCTGTTGAAAAAAAGCAGGTGGCACAGTGGTTGTGGTGCTGGACTCCTACACAGTCAACTGTGCTTTGAGTCCTGAACATGGCACCCTGAAACTCATGCCAGGGGGACCAGCAGTTAGCGTAATAGCTATGTCGCTGGACTCCCATATAGTCAACCGTGGTTCGCGTCCTGGACCTGGTGGCTTAAAACTCACACGGGGCACATGTGCGTGCGTGCCCAAGATCCCAAGAGGAGAATGGAGGAAAAGGGATTGAGGTGTGGCCATGCCCCCTGTGAGGTGATTTTTCGCTTTCTGTCTCTCTCTGTCTGTCTGGCAAGCGCACGCACCCTATAACAAGAACCTCTCAAAAAAAAAAAGAAAAGAAAAGAAAAGAAACTCACACCAGGTGCATATGCACCCAAAATCCCAAAATGGCAGAGAAGGGACTGTGATGTGGCCATCCCCCTGGGGAATGACTTCTCATTTTCTCTCTCTCTGTCTCTGGTGAGCACACACACACCCTACAGCAAAAAATCTCTCTTAAAGAAAAGAAAGAATATAATTAACGGGAGGCCAGCTGGTGACGTGGTATGAGTTCCAAACTTGGCAGCTAGAAAAGCACGCCAGCACGTGTGCATACATGCCCGAAACCCCAAAAGAAGGGAAAAGTGGAGGTGAAGGGATTGTAGCGTGACTGTTCTCCATGAGAAGTGCCTTCTCACTTTCTCTCTCTCTTTTCTCTTCAGCAAGCACACATGCCTTCCGGCAAATTAAAAAAGAAAAAAAAAATAACCAACGGATGCATGACCCATATACACTAATCTACTTACACTTCATGTTGAAAACTTGCTATAATAAATGAATTTTCAAATGTAGAGAATAATCCAACAGACGTTTAGAGAAATATGCTTACCAAACAGGCCACAGCGATGGCAAGTTGTTGACCTGAGAGGAGGTCCTAAGGAGTTGAAGAGCACTGGATTACTTATGGACAAGGAATTCTCAACCAACTTGTGTAATTTTTTTGACTTTGTAGGAGGCACATTCTTGCAAGGCTTCTATTAAAATAGAGAACAACAATATCAGAACTCAGTACTTTCCCTTTTAAATACTAGACTTGAGACTTCCTCAGATGTGCTTTTCCCCATCCCTCCTGTTAAATACAACTAAAATCCATGAATTTAAATATAAAACACAGGACAATTCTGCAAGGGGGAAGAGAAGGCCGCAGACTGGCTAGGAACTGCAGACTCAGAGAAAGACATGGCAGCAAGTTCTCTCAGTTTTCTTTTTTGCCTCATATATCCCAGACTGGGTGCTGGAGAAGCCAGCAACCCAGGAGCACCAAAAGGCACAAACAAAAAGAGCCCTAACATAAACCTGCTTTCTCTAGTCAGAGGACCAGGAAAAATTGTGGCTGCAATCCTGACAGCAAAGGCCCCAGGAAGCTGTAACAACTTGTCCCACCCCTGTCATTCATGTGGTTATCAGAAAAGACCAACAGAACAGGAAGCCAGCACTTTATTCCTACAGATGAGGAGAGGATACTCTCTCTATGGAGACCACGTGGGGAACCTGGACTTCCACCTGGCAGTATGGAGGTGGCTCCTACACCCACCAGGTTTCAGAGGAAGCATAGAAAGTGGAGAGTCAGGACTTCTCACCACCAATCAATACTGTCAAGTTCCACTCGATACCCCCTATCTGCAATCTTCTCTCACCTCACTCGTGCCAGTATAGACGGTACTGAATAGTTTTAAGGTACTCACCACGGGAGGCATCAGGTGAGTTCTAGTGAGAAGCTGGAACTCCCACCCTTACCCAGCAGAAGGTGTCAAAGTAAGCCAAGTGGAGAACCCAGACATCGAACCCCACCTAGCAACAGCAAGGCCGCAGGCCTCTCCTGGATGGAAGTGTCAGAGGAGGCCAGCCAGAACAGGAAGTTTAAACACAATACAGCATTGTAAGACCCAAGGTACCCCAGTTACAACAGAAAATAACTCATAGCAAGAACCAGGAAGATCAAGACTGAATGAAAAATTTAAAAAATAGATGCCAACATCAAGCTGACAGAGATGTTAATTTATCTACAAAGATTTTAAAGCAGCCATGGACAACAAGTAATTGTGAATATGCTTGAAACAAATGAATAGAAAATCTCAATAAAGAAATAAAGAACCAAATGGAAGTTTTAGAACTAAAAAATATAATAACCAGGGACCAGCAATTGGCATAATGGCTATGTCGCTGGACTCCCACATAGTCGATCGTAGTTCGAGTTCTGGACCCGGTGGCTTATACTCATGCCAGGCACGTGTGCGTGCATGCCCAAGATCCCGAGAGGAGAGTGGAGGAGAAGTGACTGCGGCCTGGCCATCCCCCCTGGGGGGGTGATTTCTGGCTTTCTATCTCTCTGTCTTTCTGGTGAGTGCACACGCACTATAGCAAAAACCTCTCAAAAAAAAAATATATATATATGATAACCAAAATAAACAAAACAATGGCAAGCACAAGAGCAGAAAGACCAGAGCAGAGGAAAGCATCAGTAAACTTGACAACAGAACAACAGAAATTGTCTAATCTGAACCACAGAGCGTAAACGGGCTGGGGGAGGGGAGAAGGAACAGAGAGCCTCAGAGACAGGTGGGAATATGGGAGTACAACAAAAGATCTTGCATTCACATCTTTATAGAGTCCCAGACGAAAGAGAAGGTTGAGCTGAAGAAGCACTCAAAGACAGCTGCCCAAACTTCCAAAATGAGATAAAAGACCTAAATCCACAAATTAAAGAGTGTGCGTGAACCCCAAACAGAATAAACTCAAAGAAACCCACACCAAGACACACCTTAGTCACATTTCTGCAAAGTAAGGATAAACAAATGAACAAAAATCTTGAAAACAGAGACAAAAATGATACCTTCCCTGTACTGGGAAAACAAAGCAAAAGACAGATTTTTTTTTTCTTTTTTTTTATTATTAGAGACAATGGTGACCAAAAGTAAGTGGCAAAAATATTTTCAGGTTCTCAGAGAAAAGAATTGTTACCAAAGAACCTTTATCTGAGGAAAATATCCTTCAGGAATGAAGGTGAAATCAGATATTCTTAGATTTAAAAAAAAAAAAAAAACTGTTGACAGCAGATCTATCCTAAAAAAAAAAAAAAGGCTAAAGGAAGTTCTTTAAGTAGAAAGTAACTAATAAAGGCGAAAACACTGGGTAAAAAAGGAAGAACACCACAACAAGTAAAAAATACTGATAAGTACAATAGTCTTTCTGTCTCTTAAGTTTTCTAAATTATATTCGACAGTTCAAAGAAAAATTATAACACTCTCTGGAGCAGTTTTAAACTTATGTGGATAAAATAAGACAAAGGCCAGCAGGTATTGCAGAGGTTAAGGTAGCTGGACCCCATATGGCTCACTGAGCGGTTCGAGTGCGCACGGTTCAAGTTCCAGACCAGGCGGCTTGAAAAACACAGAGTGCATGTGCTTGCATGCCTCAGATCCTGAGAGGATAACAGAGAAGAGATTGTGGAGACACTCATCCCTGGAGGGCAATTCCTTACTTTCCCACCCTTTCTAACAGTTTCTATCTCTCTCCAGTGAGTGTAAGTATCCTATAGCAAAAATTTAAAAAAATAGAAAAAAGAATTTAAGACATAAATGGATGAGGGCAAAGGGATGTAAAGGGTGGTAAGTTGTCTACATTATATTCAAACCGGTAAAATGATGACTTTAGCATACTATATTAAGTGGTATATACTGTAATATCCAAAGTAATCACTGGAAAAGTTAATCAAAGACATATAATCAGAAACACTATAGAAAAAAATAAAAATAAATTACAAAAAATTGTTCAAGGAACCCAAAGGAAGGCAGGGGAAAAAAACCTAGAAAATAAAACACAAATGGCAGACGTAAATCTTCAAATATCAATAATGACACTAAATGTAAATGATATAAATATACCAATTAAAAGATAGATGGGCTGAGTGGATTGAAAAATATATGGGGCCAGAAGGTAGTGTGGTGGTTGGAGTGTTGGGACTCCCATGTGGCTGTGATTTGAGTCCCAGATCTACTGCCTTACTTTCTCGCTTTCTCGCTTTCTCTGATGAGTGGACATAGCAAATTTAAAAAATTAATAAAAATAATAAAATTAAATAATTTAAAAAGCTACCCAGTTACATGCTATCCACAAAAAACTTCAAGTGTAATAATACAATAAAAATTCAAAAACATGTAAATGTTAAAAAGAGCAGTGGCTATAATTAATATTAGATAAAAGATTACAGAAGAAAATTACAACACACAAAGGAGAACATTAGGGTAACAAAGTATCAGTCCAACAAGAACACATAGCGATCCCAAATGTGCATGTACTGAAGATGCAAAATATGAAGCAAAACTGAACTGAAACAAATAGGAGATTCATAATTATGGAGACATCAACAGTCTTGTCTCAACAACTGATCTAACTAGATATAAAATGAGCAACAATACCGAACTCAACACTACCATCAACCTACAGAATCTATTAGATATGTGTAGACCATCAACCTACAGAATCTATTAGATATTTGTAGACCATTTTATCCAGTAACAGCAGAATGTACATTTTTTTCCAACAGTACATACACTAAGATCATATCCTGAGCTATAAAACAAATCTGAACAAATTTAAATAACTGACATCACGCAAGTGTTCTCTGACCACAACAGACTCAAACTAAAAATCAGTTGCAGAAAGATACCAATCTGCAGAAAGATACCAATCTCCAAACACGTGGAAACTAAATATGAAAGAAACGCATACGTCAGAGAGGAAGTCTTGAGGTAAGTAAAAGATCCATTGAACTAAAAGAAAATGAAAATACAACATATCAACATTTGTGGAACACAATTCAAGAAAGCACTGCTGATAGGGAAACTTACAGCACTACATGCACATATTATTGTAGAAAAGAGGAAATTTCTCAAATCAATAACCCAATTTCTTATCTCAAGAACCTAATAGAAGAACAAAATAAGAACAAAATATGCCCAAAGAAATTAGAAGAAATAATAAGATAAAGATCAAAGTAGAAATCAATCAACTTTAGAAACAGAAAACTTAAGGGGGGAAAATCAATGAAACAAAGATCTGGTTCTTTGAAAGGATCAATAAAACTGATAATTCTCTAACAAGAAAGGCAATGCAGAAAAGATGTAAGACAGAAAATTACCAACAGTATGAATAAAACAGAACATCATAACAGACCCTATAATACCAAAATAATAATACTATGAACTTTATGCATGTAAATTTACTGTAGGGCGGGTGCCACCATGCCCTATGCACATGAATTTAACAATGGAGACAAAATATGAAGTTGATTATCTGAATAGACTTGTATATGTCAAAGACATTGAATCAAACTTTTAAAACATTCCCTAAAGAAATCTCTAGGCCTAAATAGTTTTTCACTGGATAATTCTACCAAATTTTATAAAACCTCTGTTCAATGGTTGGCCTTACAGCTAAGCGGTTTAAGGGAGCCAGATCCCACGTGGCCAACTGTGGTTTGAAACCTGGCCCTAGTGGCTTGAAAAACATGTTGGGTACACTTGCATGCATGCCCCCAAATCCTAATGGAATGAAGAAATGGAAGAGAAAGAATTATGGCTCCACCATGCCCCATGGAGGGTGTGTGTGTGTGTGTGTGTGTGTGTGCGCGCTTTCTCTCTCTGGCAAGTATATGGATGCTTTGGGAGTTAAAAACAAAACAAAACAAAGCAAAACCAAACCAAACCAAACCAAAAAAAACTTTGTTCCAGTAAACAGGAAGGAACAGTTCCTAATTCATCTTCCAAAACTAATTGTGTCTTGATCTTCAAACTACACAAAGATGATAAAAGAGAAAACCACAAACCAAAATCTCTTAGAAATGTAAAAATCCTTATCAAACATTACCAGATAGGCCAAGCCATAGTGGCACAGTAATGGTTGAGGTGGCAGGACACCACTGAGCAATGCCAGGGCCACATGTGAGGCCCAGATGGAACCTGGGTTGACCTGA